GCTTGCAGCAACCAGGAGGAGAGATATGTCCCAATGTTGATTGGGGCCCGCGCTCGCGGAGAGTTTATGGGAGTGCGCGAGACAGCGCGGGACTCATCCTGGGAAGTTCATTAACCGAACCCCCTCCCCCGTAGAATCTTGACACGGGCGGGTTGCGATTGCGGGGTCCGCGGATCCGATTTCTTCCGGTTCCCCGTTTGAGTCGTGGAGCTTGGGGCAGAAATCGGATCCGCGCGGGGCAGAAATCGGATCCGCGCGAAAAGAGCAGGACGGGGGACTGGGATCCACAGCATCCGAAATCTGATACGTGTGGGCGGAAGTATGTGCGCGGCGCGGGGCCAAATGCGCCTTGCGACTGGGCCCCCTGTCGCCGGAGGCGCACATTTGCTGCCACCGAAATGCAAACCAAAACCCAATTTGTATGCGCGCAAGCCTATTTGGATCCGACGGCTGTTCTCTCATACGCGACGGCTCAAGTCTTCGAGCCGTCGCCCCGTGCACGAGAGCGGGAATGTCGCCAAGCAGAAACCCTGGCTCTTCGACTCTCGGCCGTCGGTCCTCCTCCTCCTCCTCCTGCTCCTCCTCCTTCGGCCCTCTGCCGTCAACCCCCCGGACCCTCCTCCTCCTCCTCCTCCTCCTCCTCCTCCTCTTCCTCCTCCTCCTCCTCCTACTCCTCCTCGTTCTTTTTCCTCCACCTCCTCCTCCACCTCCACCTCCTCCTCCTCCTCCTCCTCCTCCTCTCCTCCTCCTCCTCTCCTCCTCCTCCTCCTCCTCCTCCTCCTCCTCCTCCTCCTCCTCCTCCTCCTCCTCCTCCTCCCCCTCCCACCGGGCCCGCAAGCTCTCGCAAGCTCTCGCCCGCGGCCGCTGGCGCAGCTGTGGCTTCTGCGCGCCTCTACGCCCCGCCCCGCCGCGGCCCGTGGCGACACGCGGCGATGGGCGGCGGTGCACGGCCCGGCTGCACGCCGAGCGGCCGCGGGCGCCTCGGCACCACGGGGGGGGGTCCATCCAGCGGAGGAGGAGGAGGAGGAGGAGGAGGAGGAGGAGGCGAGGGAGGAGGAGGAGGAGGAGGAGAAGGAGGAGGAGCAGGAGGAGGAGGAGGAGGAGGAGGAGGAGGGGGAGGGGGAGGAGGAGGTGGAGGAGGAGAGGGAGGAGGAGGAGGAGGAGGAGGAGGAGGAGGAGGAGGAGGAGGAGGCGATAGGAGGAGGAGGAGGAGGCGGAGGAGGAGGAGGAGGAGGAGGAGGATAACGCTGGGGTTGCTTACAGCGTGCGAGCGCGCCCATGCACAGGGGAAGGAAACACGGAGCGCGCCCATGCACAGGGGAAGGAATCCCTCCTCCCCAGAGATCCGAGGATGTGGTTTCTCCAATCCAGCGGCTTCTCCTAGATTATCGGCCGCCGAGGCCCACTATCGGGCCCGGGGCCGTCCAAGAATGGAGCCGGGGCGAGAGACCACCCCCAGGGGGAAGGGGTCAGGACCTCTGGGGCCGCGGATTGGAAAAAAACAGACCGGCGGATGTCTGGGCCGCCTCGCCCCCCCTGCGGGCTCTCCCCCGGTCGTTCCCACTCCCGCGTTCCCCCGCCCTCGTTCCCCTCCCTCGTTCCCCTCCTTCGTTCCCCTCCTCGTTCCCCTCCCTCGCCCCCCTCGTCGTTCCCCTCCTTGTTCCCCTCCCGTCTTCCCTCCCCCGCGTGCCCCTCCCGCGTTCCCCTCCTCCGTTCCCCTCGTTCCCCTCCACCGGTCCCCTCCTCCGGTCCCCTCCTCGTTCCCCTCCTCGTTCCACTCCGTGTCCTTCCCGCACCGTCGCCCTCCGACTCCTCCTTGTCCCCTCCCCCTCCTTGTCCCCGACTCCTCTGTCCCCGTCCTCCTCCGTCCTCCGCCTCCTACGCGTCCTCCTCCGCGCCCTGGTCCTCCTCCGCCGTCTCCTCTTCCTGCAATCGTCGATTGAAGGTCCTGCGAGGAGTGCTCTGCTGCGAGCACTGCGGAGCACATTGCGAGTGTGAATGTTCAGTGTCTTGCTGATCCTTGCAAGAGTAACCATCCGCCCTCGAAGGCAGGCGAAAAAGGAGGTCTTCTCCAGGCTGGCAAGGGGTCTGCCCCCCAAGAGTGGCGGCAAGTTCCCACAGGCTTGAATACTGACTCGTGCCCAGGCGTGACCAGTTCTCCACGGGTCTGCAGATCAGATCCTTCCTTCCCTCCTTGGCCTCCTCTCCTCGCCCTTCCTCCCCTCCTTGCTCTTCCCCTCCCTCTTCCGCCTCGTCTCCTCTCGCTTCCCCTCTCTCTCTCTCTTTTTCCTTTCTTCTCCAGAGGAGGAGGGGGAGGAGCAGGAGGAGGAGGAGACGAAGGAGGAGGAGGCGAAGGAGGAGGAGGAGGAGGAGGAGACGAAGGAGGAGGAGGACGAGGAGGAGGAGGAGGAGGAGGAGGAGGAAGAGGAGCGTGCGCGCAGGCCCCGCGGCCGCGCTTGGCGCGCTGCTCGCGTTGGTGGCCGCCGCGAGCTGGCTGGCGGACCGACGCCCGCCCTGTTGCCGCGGAGGGGGGTCGGGGGGGCGAAGTTGGAGAGGGAGGAAGACGAACGAGGAGGAGGAGGAGGAGGAGGAGGAGGACTGAGGAGGGAGGGCTTAGCAGCCCCTCCCCCTCCCCCCTTTCGGCACCCGGGCTACCCCCCCCCTCCCCTCCTTACGAAAAGGAAGGAGGAGGGCTTAGCTACCCCCCCCCCTCTCCCCTTGACCCTCCTCTGCCGGAAGCTCCCCCCCCTTCCCCCCCTTTACTTCCAAAGGGACTGGCGGTCTTAGCAGCCCTCCCCCGCCTCCCCCCTTCCCCTTTCGGCACCCGGGCTTACCCCCCCCCCGTCCCCTCCTTACGAACGAAAAGGAAGGAGGAGGGCTTAGCTATCCCCCCCCCCTCCCCTTGACCCTCCTCTGCCGGAAGCTCCCCCCCTCCTCCCCCCTCTTTACTTCCAAAGAGAGTGGCGGTCTTAGCAGCCCCCACCCCCTCCCTTTCGGCACCTGGGAAGCCCCCCCCCCTCCCCCACCTTACGATATGGGAAGGCGGAGTATAGCAACATCCCTCCCTTCCTTGACCTTCCTCTGGCGGAAGCCCCCCCTCCTCTATTATTTTCCTCTTCCCCTGCAGGAAACTACCCTCCCCCCCTTTCCAAAAGGAGGAAAGGCGGCTCAGCTACAACCCCCCTCCCTTGAACTCCCCCTGCCAGACGATCCTCCCTCGTCGGCGTCGTCGTTGCCGTCGCCGTCGCTCGACGTCTTCGTACGATGCCATCGTCGTCCTCGTCGTCGTTGTCACCGCCGTCGCCGTCATTGTCGCCGTCTTCGTATGACCTCGTCGTGGTCGTCACGACGAGGACGAGGTCATGCGAAGACAGCGACGGACGACGGACGACGCGCGACCGACGACCGACGACGACGACGACCCAGGATCGGAGAAAACGAGACCACGACCCAGGGGCTAAGAAACGAGGAAACGAAGCAGGGTCCGAGAAAACGAGACCACGGCCCAGGGGCCGAGACAACGAGCAAAACGAACCAGGGTCCAAAAAAACGAATCAGGGTACGAGAGAACGAGACCACGACCCAGGGGCAGAGAACGCGAAAACAAACCAGGGTCCGATAAAACGAGACCACGACCCAGGGGCCGACAAAACGAGACAACGAGAAAACAAGCCAGTGCCAGAGAAAACGAAACCACGACCCAGTGGCCGACAAAACGAGACAACGAGAAAACGAACCAGGGCCCGAGAAAGCAAAACCACGACCCAATGGTCGAGAGAACGAGAAAACGAGAAACCGAACCAGGGCCCGAGAAAACGAAACAAAAACCCAGAAGCCGAGAAAACGAGACACTGAACCAGGGTCCGAGAAAACGAGATAACGACCCTCGGGCCGAGAACACGAGAAAACGAGAAAACAAACCAAGGTCCGAGCAAACGAGACCACGACCCAAGGGCACAGAAAACGCGAATATCGCTCCGAGAAAACGAAGCCACAGCCCAGGGGCCGAGAGAACAAGAAAACGAGAAAACTGACCAGGGTCCGAGAACACGGGACCAGGACCCAGGCGCCGAGAAAACAAGAAACGCGAACACGAACCAGAGTCAGAGAAAACGAGACGACGACCCAGGGGCAGAGACAACGAGGAAAAGAGGAAACGAACCAGGGTCCGAGAAAACGAGATCACGATCCAGGGGCACAGAAAACAAGAAACGAGAGAACGAGCCATGGCCCGAGAAAACCTAACCACGACCCAGGGGCAGAGAAAACGATAAAACGAACCAGGGTCATAGAAACCGAGACCACGACCCAGGAGCCGAGAAAACGAGAAAACGAACAAACGAAACGGGGTCCGAGAAAACGAGACCACGACCCAGGGGCCGAGAAAAGGCGAAAACGATAAAACAAACCAGGGTCCGAAAAAACTGGACCACGACCCAGGGGCCGAGAAACCAAGAAAGCGAGAAAACGAACCAGGGTCCGAGAAAGCAAAACCACGACCCAGGATACGGTAAAACAGGAAAACAAGACAACAAATCAGGGTCAGAGAAAACGAAACCACGACCCAGGGGCCGAGAAAACAAGAAACAAGACAACGAACCACGGGCCGAGAAAGCAAAACAACAACACCGGGGCAGAGAAAACGAGAGAATGACCCAAGGGCCCGAGACACCGAGACCACGACCCAGGGGCCGAGACAACGAGAAAACGAGAAAACGAACCAGGGTCAGAGAAAACAAAACCACAATCCAGGGGCCGAGAAACGGAGAACACGAGAAACCGAACCAGGGTCCGAGAAAACGGGGACCACGATCCAGGGGCCGAGAAGACAAAAAACGAACCAGGGTCAGAGAAAACGAGACCACGACCTAGGGGCCGAGAACACGAGAAAACGAGAAAATTAACAACGGACCGATGAATAATGACACCACGACCCAAGGGCCGAGAAAACAAGAAAACGAGATCACGAACCAGGGCCCGAAAAAACAACACGACAAAAAACAAAAGCCGAGAAAACGAGAAAACGAAAAACGAACTGGGGCCCGAGAAACCGAGACCACGACCCAGGGACTGAGACAACGAGAAACCGAGAAAAACAACCAGCGCCCGAGAAAACGAGACCACGACCCAAGGGCACAGAAAACGCGAAAGCGAACCAGGGACCGAGAAAACACGACCACGAGAAAACGATAAAAGGAATCAGGGCCCGAAAAAACGAGACTACGAACCAGGGGCCGAGACAACAAGAAAACGAGAAAACGAACCAGGGTCAGAGAAAACGAGACCACGACCCAGGGGCCGAGAAAACGAGAAAAACGAGAAAACGAACCAGGCCCCGAGAAAACGAGACCACGACCCAGGGGCCGAGGAAATGAGAAAACGCGACAACGAACCACGACCCAGGGGCCGAGAAAACGAGAAAACGAACCAGGGTCCGAGGAAACCATGACCCAAGGGCCGAGATCACCAGAAAACGCTTGGCTCGAGAAAACGAGCTCACGACCCAGGAGCCGAGAAATCGAGGAAACGAGAAGACGAAGCAGGGTCAGAGAAAACGAGACCACCACCCGGGGGCCGAGACAACGAGAAGACGAGAATGCTGACCTGCGTCCGAGAAAGCAAAACCACGACCCAGGGGCCGAGAAAGCGAGAAAACGACCCAGGGTCCAAGAAAACAAGACCACGACCCAGGCGCCGAGAAAACGAGAAAACGAAAACACGAACCAGGGTCCGAGAAAACGAGATAACGACCCAGGAGCCGAAAACACGAGAAAACAAGAAAACGAGCCCGCGGCGGTCTGAGCGCGTCGCGCCGGCGGGAGGTCGCGGCCCTTGTCTAGGGTACCCTGGCGTCCTCTCGGATTTTGGGGCTCATGTGGCTTCAAGGTATGATTATGGTTTCAGCGCCGCGCCGCTGGCGCCGCGGCGAAGGGTCTATCTGCGATGTCCTCTGAGTTCGGGCGCGCCGCTTGTGAACCAACGACGCGTTGATTCGAGGTCGCCCCCTCGCAGCAGGGTACCCTTGTGTCCTGTACTTGCGCTGCCCTGCAAGTTCATTCATCGTCGCATTCGGGGAGAGGTCGCGGGGCGCACAGAGGGTACCTAGCCGTCCTGTACATTGGTTTCCTTGTTGCAGAGCCTCTGCAGAGCCTCTAAAGAGCTTCTGAAGAGCCTCTGCCGAGCTGCAGAGCCTCTGAAGAGCCTCTGCAGAGCCTCCGAAGAGCCTCTGAAGATCCTCTGAACAGCCTCTGAACAGCCTCTGAGGAGCCTCCGCAGAGCCTTTGAAGAGCCTCTGCAGAACCCCTGTGGAGCCTACGCGCAGCCCCTGAAGAGCTTTCCCTGGTCGTGTCTCCTGGCGACAGGTCGCCAGAGGACACGATCATATATTTGTGGTTGGTATAGCCGCTTGTTGCGTCCAGAGAATGAAATTTTACAGCGGGTTTTCGCTATTGGGTTTGCGAGGTAGCATTGCCGTGCTTGTATACAAAACACATAGCACATGAATCCATCGCGCGCGCGTGAGCGCGCGAACGGGTGACCATGGTCACCCGCTGGCGTGCGCGAGCGCGCTCCGTGGATGTGTTTGTATACGCTTCCATGTATTTGTGGTTCATATAACCGCTTGTCGCGTCCAGGGGATGAAATTTTACATTGGGTTTTCGCCATTGGGTTTCCGAAGTAACATTGGCGTGTTTGTATACAAAACGCATCCTACACACATCTAGTGCGCACGTGCGAGCGCGCGAGCGGGTGACCATGGTCACCCGCTGGCGTGCACGAGTGCGTTTGGTGGATGTGATTGTATGCTGTTCCATACATACATATATATATGGTAGCCCCCCACATGATCATACATATTCGTCTTTATCGCGGCCGCCGATCGATATCTTCTTTCTCCGTTCCCTTCTCCTGTCTCTTCCTTTCTCTCCTCCTCCTCCTCCTCCTCTTCCTCCTCCTCCTCCTCCCCGTGCTATTCCTTCTCGGAATCATCGAAATCGGCAGAAACTAAAGAAAACCTGCAAAACACAAAAAAAACTATGATTTCGGGAGAACTTCTGGGGAGGGGGCCGGCCAAAGTTCTCCAGAAATCATAGTTTTTTTTTGGGGGGTTTGATTTTCTGAAGGGTTTTCGCTGGCGTTCGGCCTCCACAGAAGGATTCCTATTGAAATCCTCTGCGAAAGGAGATTCCCATTGAGATCCTCTACGGCTCCTCACCCTCCTCCTTCTGCAACTCACCCTCCTCATCATGCTCGCTTCGAGGCGATACTCACAAATCTAGTTGCGAACGCAGCTTCACAACTAGTTTTGCGAGGAACCTCCCGCTACAAGACACTACTCGCAAAACTAATTGTGAACGGCGCTCCACAACTAGTTTTGTGAGTAATGAGTTCCTCCTCGTCATCGTCATGCTGCTCACTCTCCTCTTCTTCCTTCTCCTGCTCCTCCTGCTCCTCGTCATTCTGCCCCCTCGTCTCCGCTTCGAGGCGACACGCACAAAT